GGGGGTGAGGCAAATGTCCACGTTTGTCCACAGGGGGGGAGGGGGGAGTCAAAAAGTGGCAAAAAGTGTCCACGTGGTATATGTATGGTCCCTTTCCAGTCACCTCCAGTCACCTCCAGTCACCTCCAGTCACATGTAATCGCACACAATCATTTCCTTATCTACAGTCTCTACAGTATTTTACAGTCGTACCAATATATTACAATCAACTACAGTCATTCCTATTTCCAGTCTTTGTACGCGATTTTGTCGAGTTGGGTACCCCTCGTTCCCACCTGTCCCAATCAGTTCAATGATACTTACAAGTAAATCACGTTGAAGTACATTATGGTTTTGCAAACCATTTATCTGATGCATTCAAATTTTGACTGTATAGTATGAATCACCATCACCTGTTCTTGGCATTACTCAGGAATTACACACTACTAGACAGTCCCTAGAACAAACAAGAAGTATTGTTAATGGCGAAAACAATAATTGCACTAGCCGAAATGACCAGCGAATGTTAGGCTATGGCCGGATTCTCGTCGGTTCGGTTCATTTTGTTAACGTATCTTTTCCGACCAAGAAAATAACTAACTGGAACTAGCCTGGACCGGACCGACAAAATCCGCAAAATCTCCTCTCGTAACTCACCAGAAAAGAAGAGGTTATAATTTGAATCGCTTCTCAATTTTGGTTGGAGTAAGACAGATATCCGAGCATTTACTGTGGAGTGACTTTACCTCATACATCCTTAATCCTTGTATTTCTGCAACACGCTCATAAAACTAAACGACAAGTTCATTGCTTTTTTATTTTTATTGTTCATCTACCGTGTGAAAACAGATTGAAAATTGAACAAATTCTACGACAACCAAAACAAAAACAACAGGCGGGAGCCCTGAATGGAGACTAGACTTCCAGAATCTCGTTTCTCGCTTTTAGAACGCGGGCACATGACGAGGCTACACGTTGAGAACGCTATGAAAACATGGCGTCCACAAAATGACTGGCAGAGAAAACATCATATGCATCACAAACTTACTAAACAATCCAGCAAATATGAAGTTCGTACTTCCGAAAGTTCTCCTCGATTTGTTTGCTTCAAGTCATCAAGTTTCCATTGCAGACCCCTCAAAACGATAGTAATACTGCACGAATTTACGCATTGTCCCCCTACGTATCGATTGCAAATAACTATACATCGGAACATCTGCTCTCCAGTTGCGCGGCAATGAACACTAGCGCTACCTAGTGGTTGCGGTCAGTTTAGCGCGGAAAGGTCAGTTTTTCAGAAGGTCAGTTGCTGTCACCCCTACAATGCCCACGCTCCTTGCCCTAGCAATAGCTTGGTCAGCGCGCACGCTCTGGCGGGTGACGCGGCGGGTGACGCGGCGGGTGACGCGGCGGGTGACGCGGCGGGTGACGCGGCGGGTGACGCGGCGGGTGACGCGGCGGGTGACG